TTGGAAGCCTCGAGTATTCACTGAAAGATAATTCTCAGCTTTCTATTGTAACAGCCAATTTTTTGTAAGAACAATTATAACTTGGTAGAAACGTTTCATCTACTAAAAGTCATGAAGGCTTCTCATGATAAATCTGGGTCTGCAAATCATTAGGTACTGTCTACAGTACTCATAGTTATGGCAGACCTTTTTATTTCTCTTTTTTTAAGCAAAACAAATAGATTTTTTTGGCGCAGACAACTCGAAAAAAGATCATATCATTTCTTCATTGACGTAGGTTAGTCGAAAAACGTCAACCGCCCTCACCAATTCGTGTGCGCTTCTATATCACCGAACTCTTCCCAAAACTTCCTCCAGCGTATGGCTTGTTATATGCTAGTTCGCTCCGACTTTTACTACTACGGCGGAGCCCACGGTGCTTAGCTGCGTTCGATAGCCCCCGCGAGCACTAGTGAGTGAGAAGGTGAGGTATATTTAGGTACGCGTACGACCTGCTATATCCTGTCATCCGGCAACAAAGTTACCTAATCGACCGCTACTTTATATACTAGGTAGCGCTAGTCCTCGCACAGCAGAGCGCCTACGCGCAGACTCCTGTCTCGAGATAATCAGGCTCCTCGAGGTCAGCCCGGGGCCCTGTATGACGAGTTGATGGTCGGCTTGAGAGGTCTCCAACCAATGATTGACATCAGTGTCAAGGAAGTTTGAAGCCTCCTGGACCAGACCTGGGTTCGAGATAGCGTGCGTTTGTATAGAAGATCCCGTGTCCATAGCGATATTTGCCAGTCGATCCGCCATTTTGTTGAAGGTGCGGTATTGATGTCCCCAGCTGGCGACATCAATATCGTTAGCGATGGCACGTGCTTCGTTGAATAAACGCACCAAGTGCGGCTTGCGTGGAGGGTGTTGTGTTCGGAGTTGAGAAAGTACAAGCGCACTGTCCCCAATGACGTGCAGGGGTGAGTAGTCGCCTGTCTTTGCTTGCCGAAGACCATGCACGAGCCCCCAATATTCAGCGACATTGTTAGTGGTATCGGCAGATGCATAAGCCATACTTGATACCCACAGAACGCATGCGGCGTGAGTCGGAACGTGTAGTCGTACAATCACAGACCCGGCTCCACCTGGACCTGGATTTCCGCGGGACCCGCCGTCAAAGAAGAGGAGGTAAAGCTCGCCAGGGAGCCGGTCGATAGGCCGGACTAGTAACGAAGGAGGTTCATCGTAGCAGAGTAGGGTATCAGCCAAGGCCGACCGTACCTGCGCAAACAGTTGCCCATCTTCCCCCATCTCGGGCTGATAGGTTGATCGCCGAAACCGTCTGACCGACCGACGAAAGCTCGTCTTGGCGCTGGCTATGTGCACCTCCTGTGATAACGACGAGTCTTCCATGCGGCGGAGGCGCTCGACCCAGATTGCATGAAGGGTCGTTGATACGACAAAACGCCACAGCTCTCTAGCTGCCGGAAATATAGCAGCCTGAGCTTTTGATAAATTAGTGCCTGGGTCCATGGATTGCTTAATTACATCCCAGGCGGAGGGTGGAATCGCCGGGAGGTCCAGGCCAAACACCCAAACATTCAATTCAGCCTCCTGGAAAGTTCCAAGCCATCGCCACCGATCAAGGAGAAACTCCCAGTGACGACGCGCACTAGAGCATTTCCAAAAGATATGGCTTGCCAGAGCTGGACCAGCATTCGCACACTCAGGGACCGGGCAAGACAGATCTTGCTTCGCCCAATTCCAGAGCGGAAAACTGTTACTCTTTAGCCTATACAGCGTCTGAGCGTTTGTCGGAAAGGACGCTCGTATTCGTCGAATGTCCCTCCAAGTAATCAATGTTGTACCTTCCGAGATCACGTAAAAGTCCGTCGTTGCCACACGTTCATCAAGAATTCTAGTCCCTACAGCACGGCGCCGCCGGGTGATAATCTGTTTCAGTTTACGTCGTTGCGGCCGCCACCTTCGTCGTCCAGCCCACATGTGGACAACGCGAGTAAGCGCCGGATGCGCTCCAAAGTGAACAGGAGACCTACTAGCTGTTGACGCGGCTATATCGCATGCCGCCATCGACGCGACCGGTTGCACTCCACATTCCATGCCCGTATCGAAATGTCTGAGCGACTTACCGTCACCAGTTAGAAGCCAGTCATGGAACTGGTGCACCTTTGTAGAGTATGCAATCACAGACCCAGGCTCCAGTGGTCGATATACCAGTGACGGAAAATTGTAAAGCAGCGCGAGGCAGAAGGACCCAAAATGCCGTCGCTTTGCCATAGACTGGGACGCCATGTCACGCGTAGGAGAGAACAAGACCATGCCACTCTGCAGGGTCGTCCACGTCATTGTCTCGCCAAGGTAATTCAAGTTTCGCGCAAAGTCGGCCCCGTTCAAGCTGTATGCCTTACCCTGTCGATCTCTGAGCCACGACATATCCTTAAGCGTGGCGTATGCCAGCCACCGGTGGTCAAATCGCCCTGATGCTGCTACATCAGCTCGCATCCCAACGCGCAATCTGTCATCAATAACCCGCCGAACATCAATTGTGACACTACCGTCTTCATTATAGGCGACTGCTGCTCTCGACGTAAACGACAAGGCTCGTCTACAGACCTCGCTGACCGCACCTTGGCGTGCATGTTGAGCCGAAGAAAGTCCAACAATTTCAGACCCGTTCAGCCAAAGCGTTGCGCGATATCGAGGGAGCTTGTCTTCCGTCCAACAACGCGTAATGTAAGCCGTACCCGACCCGGTAGATCCCCATAAGAAGTCACCAATTAGTAAGTCTCTCGAAGAGACAGTAGCAGCCCATTGTCCAACTGCTGTTGATGCCATCGTCATCAATTCCGTCCGAATACAGGGAACCGCTAGTCCTCCCTGCTGGATAGGTAAGGCCGCTATCTCGGAAGATACCCAGGGTCTGGATTGCTTTCTATCTCGGACACCCCATACAAAGTCCATTATTAAGCTGTGCAACCGGGTAACCACTGCGGGAGGAGGCCAACAGTGCCGTGCTAAGAAGTTAATTTTGGGTACCGCGATAGCACTTGCTAGCAGAGCACGTTGTTCCACTGTGTGCGTCTTCTCGCGGGCTAAGACAAGTCGGCTCCATATAGAAAGTATGCACTTATTCCAGTTATCGGCCACCGCGTCCTGTTGTCCCACCAATACACCAAGATACCTGCAAGAGTCACTAGGGGCCTGCAGAGTGAGACCACAGATGCTAAAAGGTTGCTCTGATCCGCGAGGGTCCAGCTCAATGATCATTGATTTCGACCGATTCGTCCGGAGACCCGACACATGAGCAAATTCCTCTAGAATAGCTACAACAGGCGTAACCGAGGACCGATCGCGAAGGTAGACAGCAGTATCGTCAGCGTATCCCGATACTTTGAACTCTGTAGCCCGCCCTCCAGTGGAGATAGGCACCCCCCCCCCGAATGTCCTCCCTCGCTTGTAGCACCCGATAGACACTATCGAGGGCTAAAATAAAGAGAAGTGGCGCAAGGGGACATCCTTGCCGTATTCCACAAGTAACATCACGTCGACGAGAGCGGTATCCATTCACAAGAAATCGGCAGGTAGTGTCGTGGTGTAATGCTGCCACGACTGATACGAAATGAGTCGAAAACCCAAGCCATGTCAGAGCGGAAAGCAGATATGGACGTTGCAACGTGTCGTAAGCCTTGGCAAAATCGAGAAGTAGCACAATGGCTCCATGTAGGCTGCTGTCCAAAGTCGCAGCTTTGCGTACCGTCGCGAAAATGTCAAGAGCTGTATGGATCGACCTCTTTGGAACAAAACCAACTTGAGCCGGCAAAACGAGATGCGACAATAATGGCCGTACCCGAAACGAAATGATCTTGGTAAATAACTTGTAGTCGCTGTTGAGGAGAGCAATCGGGCGATGATCGAGCGGCAAGGCGGAGGACGCAGATTTCTTCAAACACTGAATGTTCGCTTCACCGAAGGAAGACGGGAACACGCTGCACGTAAGCCATCTGGTGTAGAATGTAGCGAGTACTGGACTGAGCGCTTCCGCGTAATCTCTGTAAAATGTGTTGTTAATTTCGTCCGGTCCCGCGGCTTTCCCACGTTTCAGCCTCTTTAAAGCCGCACTCACGTCATCGGGGGAAACGGCCGACATCACAGTAGTGTCATCAACTGGTCCTGGCGGGACTGCCCGGGAAAGAAAAGTGGCGGTAGCGTTGGGACAGGCAAAGGAATGAGTCATAATACGCTCCCAGCCATCCGCCATTTCATCAGCCAGCTCTTGAGAATGATTTGGCCCGTATGCAGCCTTTCCGCCCAAAGAAACAATGGTGTTGTCTTGAAATTTAGTCGCCACCCGGGCGAAAAAACGTCGAGATGTTTCTCCAGGAGTATACGTGTGTTGAACAAGAAGGCGCTCTTTTTTTGGATCTCTGCCATAAGCGTCGACACTCCGCAACATTACGCCGCAGTCCAACCGGAGTATCGGTGGTGCTAGGCTTGTTGCAGTCCTTATGAGCTCCTGGTGGTGAGTTATCAAGTGTACGCGCCACCAATAGAGCTGCGTCCAGTCTTACATAGAGCCGACGGAGCCGCTGCCGATAGCTTGTTGTCATACCTTGACGCGCGGTCTTGGTCGTCGCCAAAAGAACTTTGCGAAGCCTGATCTTCCATTCATCCCACCAGTCGGCCAATCTACGGGCCGTGATATAGTCCGACGGCGGAACAGAAAGAGTCTCGTCCGCTTTAAGCTGTGCCAGCTTAATGGCCGCAACAATTTCTTTATGCGCGGCTGTGTTTGCATAACCTGGAACAGGGTACACGTGCCTCGGCTTACGTACACGGACCACATAACGCGGCACTCCAATCCTGATACTGATGCCATTGTGGTCAGCTGCTGGACCAGGAACGGACAAAGCAACGCCACGAATCCAATCAGCATGGCGAGAGCTCACATACCACCGATCCAGTCGGGAACTAGCCAATCCACCGCCCGGAAGAGTGTAGAATTAAGTGTGAGAGGCCGCATGAAACGCCGGTACATCTCTTTCTTCTTCGGCCATCTCCAGATCACCATCAAGAACATCGCTAAGCTGCACTCGGCCGAGAAGCCGCCGAAGCGCCAAGGAATCATGTCTTCCTGGCGGCGAGACAAAAGAACGGTCAAGTCGCGGCTCCAAAGTACAGTTGAAGTCCCCTCCAACAAACATGGGTCCTTCGTATCCCTGAAGAATAAGTAGAAGGCTCGAGAACAGCGCCTCTCTTACAGTCTTGGTACTTGGGGCGTAAACGTTTACAACAAGAACTGTTTCGCCCATTAGACAGACCCGGACATCCATCCAATGCTGTGTCCATTGATCCTCATACCACGGAACCATTTCCGTAATTGTTGAGTATGGGTTTAATAAAATAGCCACACCTCCACGAGAGAACTCGGACTCGGTCCACAACGAGCGTCCGAGTTTGTGCACGAATCCCCAGGAGGAGTTGTAAAGCTTGTCCAGAGGAGCTGCCTCACCTAAAGTGACCCGCGTTTCCTGTAAAAGGACCAAATCGATGATTCCCCTGGCTTCGCTCTGTCGGAAGTGGCTGAACCAAGTTGCGCAATGTTCCGGATTCTTGGGAAATCCTGCGACATTCTGCGAATGGATACCTATGCTGTTGTCGCGTGGAATACATGAGGTCTTAAAAAGGCGTCTTTGAAGACGTTGTGGCATGTGCCGCGACGATGCATCCTCTAGCTCAGCCGAGACGCCCTCAGCACCTAGAGTCCAGCAGTTGACCATCTTTAGCGATAAGGTCAAGAGCCGGCTGCCAGTTGGCAGGTTTGCATATAATGCTAATCACCGCCGCGCGCACCTCTTTGGAGAGGTGATATAGTACAGCCTTGGTTTGCGGCATTACCACGTTCGTCTTAACCTCAATAGGTGCGAGCTTCGGGAGCAATAAACACAGAACATTGAGGACTCCACACTGATCCAAGTCAGAAAGCGGTTCGACGACAGTCGCGCACAGCAAATCGGGCTGTAGCTTACTAAAGCGTCTCCAGCGTTGTATATTGTCCGTCGTTCTCCATCGAATATGACCGGTTTGCGCGTCTGCCGTGGCGGCCCAACCCTTGCACAGCTCGCGAAGTTCTTCATCTGCGTGTGTGGTGTGTCGCCGAATTACAGCCAGTTGAGATTCACTGTTAATGGAATGTCCAAAAGACTGTAGGGTTTCACCCGACATCGAGGCAAGGTAAGCAACAGGATAAGGTAGTCCACAGACGAGTCCCGCCAAGTCCAAGGAGCACACGTTTATCCAGGCCATTTGTCCCTTAGGTCCAACTGGCATTGTAGTCGGTAGTGCAGCCATCGCTTTGTGCAGGCTAACCCATTTGCGAATCGCCGCTGTGTTCAATGAAATTTGTTTCATGCTCTCCAGCACTGCAGCAGCCGCCACCGCAGCAGATGCGCTATCTGGAATTCTGCGAATCCTTGTTGCGCGTAAAGTCTGATCGTGAGGATCGGGAGCGCGACATTGTTCCATCGGGGACCGGACCGCTACCTGCGTACAGAGACCACCCATGCTAGCGGTAGGACGTGTTAATAAACTAGAGGCACCCGTGTCGGAAACGTCGATAACTCCAGACGAGACCTTAAGCTCTTCCTCAATTGCCTTGGCTAGATCCGCAGGAATAGGTACACTAGCGGCACAGGGAGGCGGAGTAACTGCCCCTCCATTTAAATTATTCAAGCACATAGTGTTCCCGAACGTAACCGTGCTCTCCGCCATAGTAACATCGAGATCTTGGGGACGCTGCCCGTCCGATTCTGGGGGGCACATCGGCGGTAGATCCGGTGGACCCGGATCACGAGGCGCCTTCGCGGTAGGTACCGTAGCAAGAGGTTTATCGATCGGCTCACTTGGTACACCCCGCTTGCGGCGCACATACGAAGCCAACAAGCGTTGTATCATGGACCGACTCCGCTCTCTACTTCTTGCTGCCATCTCCGTAGGCATCTCGCGAGGTGGTGTATCATCTTGCGGGGCCGTATCTTCGGTCACAGGCTTCGGTTTCGGTGTAATCTTTGCCAACCGACGTGTCAGTGTTTCGAGGGTTTTCGCTGCTATCGTTGCATCCGCATTCGCTCGGTTCGCCGTCGCACCTGCGGTGCGGTATTCGTACTCCATCCTCAGCAATTCCTCACTGACTTCTTCAGGAGAAGTAGGTTCTCTATTACTCGTTTTCTCAGTAGCAATAGCCACTTCGAGTGCCTGAGCGTGAGCCGCAAAGTAGCATGATTTCGTGGTGTCTGCCGCGCGCTGCTTCTCTTCGGCTGCTAAATTAAGTTCCTCGACCGTTTTTTGTGCGGTTGCTACTTGCGATCGAACGGCCTCAAGGGTCGCCTCTTTTAAATTCGTCGAAGGCAGCGCCGAATCGACCCCCCGGATCAATCGGTGCAGGTTCTGCAACTTCCTCATGAGCACCACTCAATATGTGGTCCAGTTCCCGAATCGCCAGCGTGCGCTGGGTGTCCGCCTTCGAAGAAGCGGAGGGTGGTGGCGAAGAATGGACCGTGGTCGATTGCCCTTTTGACGAACAGTTGCCTTAGTCTGTTGAGGTGGTTTCTTTTTGTCAGCGACCGTGTTCGTGGAAATAGTTTGGGCAACAGCCTTCGACTTCGGGAGTGGTGACTTTCTTGCACCTCCATCTTTGTTGAACTGCGGATGCTTGGGTAGCTTCACAGCAGGTCCTGTTGCCCGACTAGCCGGAACATCTGCGGGGCGCACATCCCTCTTTTTTTGTTCGCTCCAGGATCGAACCACTCGTTCGTCATTGGACCACTGACGCGAGTAGCCCCGCCCCGAACGGCCTGTCCACCGGCAAGCGGAGACGTGTTCGGAACTGACGACTGCCCAGCACAAGGAGGTACCTGCGAGACCTCACTTAACAGTGGGGCCTTGTTGCCATCAGCCTTTAATTTCGCCGTGGTTGCCACCAAAGTATCCGCCAGTCCAGAGACATGCTGCAGGCGACCGGCAACGTCCAAGTGGTTAAAAGTCAACCCACTTACGTGAGGAGGAGCTATTGGAATACCAGTAAATTCTCGGTGATGCTGAATTTGAAAAGCGCCTTTGCGTCCACCACACTTAGCACTCGAGTGATATGGCGAATAGCAGGAAAAACAGGGAACGCGTTGAAAGTGACGAAAATGGTGGAGAAAGATCTCCGTTTCGGATGTTGCTATGTGCGTGACCAGCTTGAGTTGTTCGGGACATGACACCATGTCAAAAGTTGCCACGAAAAAGTTGGAATCATATGCCTCCGAGCCGAGTGGGCACCCACGAGACACGGATGTGACCGTACAAGCCACACTAGACGCCAATATAGCTTGAACCGTGCTTGCCGCCACTCCATTGACCAAAATCCGGACTTGGTATTGCAATTGGTGTCTACCGCTTGACGTGGCTAATAGCGAAGGAGCAGTAATGTCTTCGCGCTCCATAGTGGCCGGGCACACCAGCTTAAGACGCTTTCCGCGAAACAAAATCATCTTTGCATGCCAGCTTGCTGCTGCCGCTTGATCCGGCATAATGAAAGTCAGTCGCCTCGTTTCGGCATCGTAACTGGTCCGCTTGGCGCCCTTGACCAATTCCCGACACATGACATCGGACTCCGTCTGCCCCTCACTGCGTTCCAAGAGCTGGAGTAGCAACGTTTTCTCGGCGATGTACTGAGGCATGCGCACGTACGGAGGGACAATCGCAATGACCTTCCCTTCCAGGTACTCTTCGAAAAAATCAAGCATTACAACTCGCGTAGCCCTCGGGTGCGTGCACACCAAAAATCCAGGCGAAGACTGGAGCATGATAGCCCCCATCATCCATGCCGCTAGAGCCTCCTCTTCAAGCGGAATCATCGAACGGAGATCATCGTCTGATCTGTCGGTTCACACTCTCGTAGCCGCCCGCACCAGCACCCGGGTGTGGTCAGCAGATGAGCGCTGACTCCCATTCTCTTTGGAGTCAGCGAAAAGTCCCGGACCCTGCCCGTCTACCGTGTCGGCCCTTCTCTGCTCTGTTGCAGCTCTCACCGGTCCCGAGCCCGCAGACACCAACAAGTGAGGCTCATACGCCGACCCGAGATTTCGAGATCGAGCCACAACGTCACAGGAAAAAGCTCCCGCGATAGGAGAGGACCCGACCCGCGGTCCTTTCCCCTGTGCACCCCGTTCTGTAGCCACTGGATACTGACCATCTCCGTCAAGGAAGGAGTCAGCCACTGCGGCCGCGTACGAACGCCGATCAGTACGGGTCCCACAAATAGGCGCAGTAGTTGGGGGGCCGAGGCCGCCTGTCCAAGCTCGGGATTGGTCAGAATTCCCGTGCCCATCCCCTATCGTCTCGTCTTGCCCCGTCTTTTACACTCCTATTGGCACGCTCTCGCCCGACACGGGCGTGGGCACACTCGAGCCAC